AGAGAGAGAGAGAGAGAGAGAGAAAGAGAGAGAGAGAGAGAGAGAGGGATCACAAAGTCACTCAGCTAGGACACAGCCTGGTGATCTCCCAACTTCTGGGACCACAACCCTAGTGATTCTGCCCTCAGGAAGAGGGATAACCACACACCCCTAGCCTGATGACCTCCCAGGTGCTCTGGACTCTGCTTCCTTGCTGGTGACAAGAAGCTTGGACAGCCTGGAGCCTCTGCCTGCAGGGGTCTCTGCTTGCCTAGAGAACAGGCTCTGCACTGCCGTTCTGTTGGGTCAAGGTAGATCTACATCAGAGTTCCTGGCCTCTCCTTCCTAATAGGAAGACTGCAGGCAATGTGTCTCTTTATGAACAAAGAACAGTTTTTCTTTTCAATTCCTTAAAAACCCCCTGTTTCTCCTCATCCGCACTTCTCTTGGGACTGACTGGGGAGAAGGGGAGCTGTCGGACATGAAGGAAAAAAGGGGCTCTCTCCTCGCTACTCAGTCCCCACCTATCCCCAGGGGACCTCTGGCCTCTGAGGCTGCAGGGCTCTCCTGAATTGCAGGTGCAGAAACAGAGTCTGGATCTCAACCCAAGAAATCTCTAAGTCAGACAAACTGTAAAAATAAATCCGAGCAATGTCGCTTATTGTGGCCTTATCATCCCTCCTCTTCCTCTCTTCATCCCCCTGGAGCCAGTAATTCAACCCTGAATCTCAGCCAAGAAAAAGCCCCCAGGAGGGAGTGGAACCAGAGGAGCCCACGTGGCCTGCCGGGGATTCTGCCCTTTGCCCTCACTGCCCGCCTGCTCCCCAGAGCCCAACCTCCCTGCTGCTGCCAAAGAGACCAGGTCAGCTTTCCAGATTTAAAACGAAGTCGTTTATTTCAATTTTGCTTTCACATTATGTTCCGACACAATCTAAATTCTTGGACGAACCTCTCCAATAAAAGTCCTGCGAATGAGTGTGATCACAGATCCAGGGCGATGGGTCTTTCGGCAGGTGACTCGGGATTCAGAGACGTTGGTATAAAACGTAGGCTGCTTCGGGAACTGCGGAGCAGAGGAGGGTTAGGGGCATCCAGGTGCAGAAGGCCAGAGGAAGCTGCCACTTCTGGGAGGGTGGTTTCGGGTCCTGGAATGGGGGCTCATTCCGGTGCAATTGGAATCCAGAAAAACCCAAACTTTGCTCCCAGGCCGGGCCATGCCTGGCCTAGCATGGTTTCAGCCACATTTCTTAGGTTTGTGCCAAGGCAGAGCCCACAGGCGAAGCAGGGACAGCTTAGGCCTGGTGCAGGCGGGAGCGCCGAACCAGCTTCACGTCAGCCTTTGCGCCTGTCCTTTCTGGTGGCGTTCTCATGTTTCCTGCTTCTGAACCTAGCCCCGGACACCGTCGGCCCCCAACTTCACCTTAGTAGCCTGGGAAGATGCGGAATTCAGAAAGCTGTTTCAGAAAAATAAAAGTCCCACTTCGACTTTATTGGATTAAAGCAAAATTAAATCTTGGCTATTGACACGTATGTTACAGAGGACAAGGAAGCGTCCGGAAGACCCTCCTGGGCGTTTAGTGGGGCCACAGAGCACGAGGGCGTTGACAAGCATCAGAACACCAAGCAGCCTTAGACTCACGACCACTCCGAATAGGACATAGAAATACGGAAACACAGCCAGTTTCCACTGAGAAGAGTTCTTTGTGTACAAATGATATATATTATGTATATTTTAAACCAGTCACCAGTGAGGTGAGTCCAATCTCCACTAACAGGGAGCCGAGGATACAAAGTATCTTCAGCAAATTAGCGCTTGAGCAGTGTTTTAAGAAGAGCAATACTTGTCAGATTGAAACTACTTTCCCTATTCAGAAACAAAAACGGAAAACAAAACAAAAACAAACAAACAAACAAAAACCTCTTTCCCTCTCCAAACTAAAAAAGGAGGGAGGAAAATATTAAGATTTCAGTAAATGGAAGGATTGGGGGAGGGGGATAGGGAGAAATAGTTCACATTATATAGTTAAATACAAAGTTTCTTTTAAATAAATCGCTGGGAACACGAACGTAGGAGTAACAAACAATGACAAGGCAGCCTCTTTTCTTGATTACTGGAACTGAATTGGGGGAGGCGAGTTTATTTTTGGAAACGGGAGTGCGCAGAGCTAAGCGGAATTTACTTGTAACAAGGAAACACCACGTTGTCCCACCGCCGGTGCGCGCCTGATTACCCGATGGGGCTGGGGAACGTGTGGGAAGTTTTAAGTGGTGCCGCTTTCTCGCCTTCTAAATTTCAGCCTCTTTGTCTCTCCCTCTCCTGCCTTCGCCCTCTCCCGGCCTCCATCCCGGTTAGGAGCCAGTCAGAGGGGAAACACGAGGAATCCGGAGAAGGTCGAGTACTTCCAGCCCCCCATCAAGTTCCCTCGCTCCAGCTTGAGGTATGCTCGGTCGCCTTTCTCCATTTGGATTAGGACTCCATTGCTGGCGGCCTCCCTGGTCACATCCTGGTCCCCAGCGAAGGCCGAAATCACCGGCCACCCGTTTAACATGAGGCTCACCTGGGAAAGAGAAAGACCTGATTTAGAACAGGAGCTACCGAGGCGGGGCGCAGGCGGTTGTGCGGGCGAGCACCTCCGTGCCGGACCGCTCCGGAGGAAAGGCTGCATAGGCCTCAGGGAGAGGTCGGCCGGCCGGAGGAAGCGGGTATTTTCAACTTACTGCTGAGGGCCCCATGGGGACCAGAAGCCAAAGAATGTAGGTGAGAGGAAGAGTATGCTCCCAGTATGGGAGTCGTCTTCCTTCGTCCCTGTTCTCAACTGCGCGCGCCTAGAGAACCAACTCTGCATTATCCAGTTTAGTGAATCGCAGCTGGCTCTAGCGCGGGGAGACCTTCCCGGTCTCTGCTGCTTCCCTCAACCCCAAAGAGAAACTCAGGCAATTCTGCTCCAGATGCTCCCGGAAAACCAAAACACCAAACAGGAAAACGGGACCTCCCGGTCCTAGCTGCCGGGACAAGGTGGAGACCTCTGGAGAAGCTGAGCGAGGCTTCCCTCTGATTAGAAAGCGCGCTCCGAGGTGCAATAGGCTACATCTCCAAAACACTGGCTCCCTCCCCGCCCAGGTCCAGCCCGCGCCCGCTGCAGCCTGGTTTGCCCTTGCGGTGGCCTCGCCAGCCCAGGGCAGGGTGCTGTCCCTGGCCGCACTTTCTTCCGGCTTCTGTCTGCGCTCAAAGGACACCTGGGAGTCTTTGGGAACCCGAAAACAGAGAGTGCTGGCTGGGACAAGGCTAAAGCCAGGAGGAGTGGTACTGTGCATCCTCCCTTCTCTCTCCACCCTTCATCCTCCAGGGCTCTGAGCTGCTAGTTCAAAAAAATCGGAGTCACCCATAAAGGGATGCCCCCAGGCCGCCAGATTCGAGGAATGGGACCCGGTCCTATCCGCGGGGCTGAAGGTGGGAGTGCAAGCTGCCTCTTAGCTCCTGGGCTGCAGCAAGGGGTGGGGGGTACTGGTGAAAGCGACAGTCCTGGGAAGCCTACAGAAGATGGAGCTGTCTGTGTGGCTAGCAGCAGCTGTCACAGAAAGTCCCTGGAATCCCCTAGGGAAGCCCGAGAACCTCTTCCAAGGGGCCCAGAAGAAGGAAGCAGAAAACTCTCTCCGGGGATGAGGATGGGATGCCAGAGCCAGCGACTAGGAAAGCAAGGGACAGTGCAAGCTACCGAACTGTGAAGCTCGCCTGTCTGTCCCTCCAAGCTACGCAGGCATAAGCAGCTGCCACCTCTGTCCCCCACCTCTGCAGAGTCCCCGCACCCCCGCGGCTAGCAGTTCCCTGCGGGAGACCAGGGCCTGGCCCAAGGCGGCAACTGACCTGAATGGTCTGTCTGTTGTAGACTTTTACCACGTGGAAGTTAAAACTGTAGATCCCTTTGCGCGGGGCGATGAAAGTGCTGCGTTCGGAATCAAAGTTGTTCCCGATGTTCACTAGCACCTATAAGGGGACGGAAGCGAAGGAAGGAGACCGGAGTCAGTCCCCGCTGCCCTTCCGCGCCTCCGAGGAGCCCTTGCAGATCTCGGGCATCCGTCTTCGGCCGCTGCTCCCCCTACCCCGCACCCGAGAGCCAATGTGCACACCGAGGAGAGCGCTCACCTGGTCGAAGTAGATGATCATGGTGCGGTTACTCATTTCGGACGGCTCGTGGTTGGTGCTCCGGATGGCAGAGAACGCCACCTTGGCGCTGCCAGAGCGCACGGAGATGCCCAGGGCTGTGCCCGTCGGGTCCGACGTGGGGTTGGAGTCGCACACCACCAGGCACTTGCCTTCCAGTACGATGGGCTCCGTCTCATTCTGCGCGCGGACCGGGCCTGCCAGCCACGCAGCGCCCAGCAGCAGCAGCTCCAAGACGCCCCGCATCGCGCCGCCGGCGCCCACCCCGCCCCCCGCCCCGGGGGCTGCCCGCGCCAGCCGCCCCCCGCCCCAGCCCCTCTCCGAAGCCCCCTCCTCAGCTCGGGGCGCAGCTCCACCGATGCCTCCTGGTCACTCCTGCTGTCCCTCGCGCTCCGGGACGAGCGTCCCCGCGGGATGCTCCCGGAGCCCCGCCCGGGCCTCAGGGGTGCCGCGGCTGCCCAGCCGCACTTGGATGCATAGCCGCTGCTGCCGTCGCCTCCTGCCCGCACCCGCCGCCGCCGCCACCGCTCTGAATTATTGATGCAGCGGACGCTGCAGCCGGAGCGGGGCGGAGAGCGCGCGCCGGGCACAAAGGCGCGGACCGCAGCCTGGCCCCGCCCCCGCCGCCAGGCCCCGCCTCCCTCATCAGCTCCACCCCCACCCCCGCCTATTCCCCGCCCTCCACCCAATCCTGGCGCGTCGCGCTCCCTGCCGGGCCAATGGCGGCGTTGTCCGCGCGCGGCCACCTGACCCCGGGCGCAGTTGTTATTAGGCTCGGCGAGGCGGGCGGCGCGCGGCACCAGGGTTGGGCTCTGGCCGGGAGTCGACAGAGGGAGCGAGGGCAGGGAGCGCGCCCGTGCGTGCGCGCGCTCTCGCGACCGGACTATCCGCCGCGGACACTCTTTCGCCCGCCTTACACTTCGAGCCTGGGCCCCGCTCAGCACCCTGGGCCCTTCCTAAGCGCCTCCCGCGCCGGCCCTCAGGTAGGCGGTGGCGCGCTCCAGGGTCGCGAGCAGAATTGCAGAGGGCCGAGAGGCGCGCGCGTGGGAGCGCGGGGTGGAAGGGGAGCGCCCCCAAGTGGGCACAGGGAGAGGGGCGGCCGCACGGGGCGGCTCTTGCTGGGGCGGCCAGGCTTCAGGGCGCGCGCACGGGGCGGAGCCGCGCCAGGGCTCGGGGTGGTGCACGTGGCTCAGTGGCGACCCGGCTTGCTCCGTCCCAGGCGGGTGTCTCAGCTGTGTGCTGTCCTCTCCCCGGCCCACGGCCGCGAGGACGGAGCTGGGCCTCTCGCCTTGCTCCCCTTGTCGAACCGCCTGCTCTGGGCGCTCCGGGGGTCTTAGGAGCCTCCATTCTTTCATTCATTCATTCGCTCGAGGTTGATCATATGAAGGGCCCAGCCCTGGGCTGGGTGCTAAAGATGTAGTGACGGGCAAAGGGGAAAGGCCCCTTACAGACCAGCGTTCAAGGCGGTAACAGGTACAGGGGCGTCGCATTCAGGCTCATTTACTTATTACTGCTGTTTTTCGTTTGCACTTGAAATATCTTGCATCCATACTTTTTACGTACTCTGTGCCCTTTTGGCATACTTTATACCCAAGAGTTCCTGTACATCATTGCCTCGAGTGTAGACACCAAATCCTGTGATTTATGGGCTATCTATCCAGGGTGATCTGGACCCTAAGTCAATTGCTGTCCCGCTTGTGGAATTAAAACCACACACAGACACAACACAAACACAAGCGCGCGTATTTACAAACGTGAACGTAAAAATACAGCGCGCGAGAGAATTGAGAGATTGAGGCTGAGATTCGCGGTGATGGTTGGAAGAAGGGCGCATCCTAGCCTGGGTTCGGGAAAGCAGAAATCTGGAGGATGAACGCGGCCAGGGGATCTGTCGGGGTCAAATCCAAAGCAAGGCACTGACTCTGGAGCCCGACAGAGGCCGGCCAGGATGTGCCAGGCTCCTGGCGCTCTGCCCACTGCTTCGCGAAGTTGAAGCTGCCGTGTTCAGCCAGGCTGTAGCGTGCGGCAGGTGGGACTCAGCGCGGACCTGGCGATATGGACGGGCGCGGAAGGGGTTCCCGGGGCTGCCCCTCATCTTCCTAGTGGGGTTGGAATCCGGGTTCACCGAGGGCAGGTTCTCCGCCCTGCTAGGGTATGCTCTACCCAAGCCCGTCCTGGAATCCCCAACAGCCACGCCTGTCTGCTTCTCCATCTCCTTTGTTTCTTCCAGACTTGATAGGAAACCCATCTCCGACTCCCGCCTTCATTCTGAGCCCTACCGGGTCACTGGGTGGGCAGGAGAAAGGAAAGGGGGCGGGGGGGGGCAGCCGCTGAAGAGGCAGCAGTTTTACTTTAAATGAAAATCACACGAAAATATTTTTCCAACTCCTGGCTTTTTTGAGACATCACCAGAAAGCACTGCCAGCTGTGATTACGTCTAATGTGAGAGCATGAACTAATTTAAGAGGTGAGAGCTGAATAATGAACCTACATCCAGTGGAGCAGCCAAGAGTAGCAGCTCTCCCCGTGGAAGGCACCGGGAAAAACACCCCTGTAGAACTAACCTCATACCCTTCCACAAATGTTTACCAAGTGCCAGCCTTGTCTGCCCGGTTGCAACCAAGAACAAACCTGGAACCTGTTTGCTCGGAGCACACAGCAGGGTTGAGATCACCTCCAGGGATGTGGTTGCCTCCTGGTCTCTCATTGTGGTAAGGTGATGCCCAGCCCTGAACTGCCTTCTATATGCCAGTGACCCTCCATTTTGTATCTCCCATCTGAGCCTTTTTCTGAGCCAGACCTGTCATCCTATGGGCCTATTGGACCTTTTTGCTTATGTATCTTTAAGGTACAATTAACCTTCCAGATCCTTCTTTTCCTATCCCAGTGACAATGACTGTGGCCACCTAGATATGCAGTCTAAGGACCCCCACACCTAACCTGATTGTATATGTCCTGTTGTTTAAGCCATTCTCCTTAGACTGTTAGGGGCTCATTATCTCCACCTGGGCAACTTACAGCATCTTCCTAATGTATCATTCAGGGATTAGTGAAGGATCGCCTGATACTGTTTATTCTTTCACTTGATGAATAGCCATCAAAGCCCTGAAATATGTAACCTCCACTTTTCTCCCATGTAAGTGAGATTTCAAATGTCGTATTACCTCCGATTCTCCCATCCCTTTTTCATGTAGTATATATTCAAAAAATAATGAAAAACAATTTAGTGTTAATAGTCCCAAATTGTGAGGACTAAAGGAGATTATGTACATGAAAAGGAAAATCCATTAGAGACTTCAAAAGCAGTCATGTTTATTTTTAGGCTTATTATGTTTTGGAGTCAGAATCCTTTTAGCTGCAAGTGACAACACCAATTCAAACTGGCTTAAGGATTTCATTTGGTTGATGCATAAAGCCTTGGATAGATCTTGCCATTTAAGGCATGATTGGCCCTGTCAGTCAAGGTTACCAGGATCTCTTTCCAGTATTGGCATCATTTTCAGACAACCTGTTTCCATATATGAGGCCCTTAGAGGTATTACTAAGTCCTAGCAAGAAAAAAAAAGCAGTATTTTTAGTCAATATTTGTAGCTGGAGTCCCAGAACCATTCTTACAAGGGCAGCTGCAGTCACTTACCCTCTCTGGAGGTAGAGAATGGACAGTTTGGTTGACTAATCTTGGGCCTGGTCGCCATCCCCTGCAAAGGGGTTTGTTGTGAGCTGCACATATTCTGGAATAGAGGGACTCTCTAAAGAAAATTAGAGAAGGGATGCAGGACAGGCAGAAACCATGATGTCTACCTTAGCCCTTCTTACAGGTTTAACTGCAGTACATTCCACACAGTAAGAATGGTGATGAGGATGACAGAGGAATAGAAGCAATAGATATGTGTGTGGCTGTGATCTTCAAGACCTCAGCTAAATAGGAAGTCAGGTCTATCAACCATGATGTTATCTGAGGTTCTCTTTGAAGTCTAGATGCACCTGATACGGTAGGACTACATGAATCTAAATCAACGGTCATAACATTTTATTCTAAAAATTTTTTTGCCAGTGTTCTGTTGGAATTTTTTTTCTTTTCTTTTCTTTTCTTTTGTACCAAGCATCAAACTCAGGACCTTGCACTTGCCAGGCAGGCGCAGGTGCCACTGAGCTAAATCCTCAGCTCCTAATTTTTATCTTTTTATTTTTTAGGTTCTCAGGAAGGTGAAGGTAAAATTTTCAGTTCTTTCTGGACATATACCTAAAATTCCTTATTATTCATCAACTGATGAAAATTTGAGAGAGTCTAAAGAGTAAAAAGTAGTTTCAGAAATGTACTGACTGTAGAATTTAACTTTCTAAGGCTTTTCAGGTGTTGAAATACTGGTAAAGTATTAAAAAGCCACTTCTCTGAAGCTTTTAAAATAACAAAGATTTAGGAAACTGCAAGATTACAAATAATGAATTTATACCACTACTATTATATCTTTTACTTTTGGCTTTAAATATGGTATCACATTGTGGTGCAGTCAAAGGTTTATTTCCTCTCCTGTGCTCTGAATTTCCCACCACAGTGCAGTCTAAGAAATGAATGTAGCCGCAGCCTCCACCGATGCTGTATTCATGGTTGCCCCGCTCCCCTCCTACTCCATACCCTGGGAAAAAACGGCAACCTCCATGGGAATGAGCGCATTTTCAGGAAAAGGGGGGTATTTTCTTAAAGAATGTGAAACAAACTCATCCTTTTATTAAATCAAAATGGATTCGCTAATGTTTATACACATCAAATGGAGTTTTATCTCTTTCCTCTTGTTCAAAGGCCCAGACAGTGCCATTCCCTAGGGCTTGGTTCATTTGCTCCTAAAGCAGAAGAGACAGTCCACTTTGTTCTGAAGATTGTTAATTTTAGGATATCAAGGGTCAAAGTCATTTCAGGCTAATTCCTAAAGTTATACTATAAAATACAGGAATGATTCTAAGTTGTACAAAGTATGAAATACTGTAATATTTTAACTTTGACCAAAACCTTTACCTTCCTGGGTGTGTCTTTTTTGCCTATTCAGATTCATATTAAATGCAACATTTTTGCTGTTTAAATTTTAAAAGTTATGTTTAAAAATTAACCTTATAATTGAACATTTTTACTAATACAGGAAAAAGACAGGATTACTTTTTAATGAAGGCCAGGTTTGTGGTAACATTTTTATTCTTTTAAAAAAATTTTTCTTTTGATCTTAAAAAATAAAAGAACACATTTAAAATGCCTTTAGTTCTTACGTTAATACCAAATTATGTATTTTTTTAGTCTGTTTCAGAAGGAGATACCGCCTTCTCAGTTAAAAGATGCTGACACTATTTTCAAAACAATGCCTTGAATCTGCTGTGGTGTGGGCAGGTAGGAATTTTGTATGAAGCTATTATTCAAGTAGAAGGAACTAAGGTCAAAGGCCAAAAAAAAACATTTAAAAGTGTATGTCTACAGAACTGCACCTGAGAGAAAACTAGATAATGTCACAAACTCGTTGGAATTTTTCCATGAATTATCTGTGTGCTGTTTAGGATGGTTGGCTATAGGGCCAAACCAAGGTTTAGTGAATTCACCAAACATTTATGGGGTGCCAAAGTATGCAAGACCTCAAACATCATGGTTAGAGGTAGCAAGCCATGCATATTTGAAGAACCTCCACTTACACCTCTTCCTTTTGGTTCTACTCAGAAAGCCTCCTGAAAGTGTTATCTTTGATTATTCTTTGTATTTGTGTACCTTTATCTTATCAGAAGATAGACAACATTTATACATATAAAATTAATAAATTACCAAACATTCGAACAAATAGTTCAGTACATAATTCAAATACATTTGACATTTATCAAAGAAATGCTGGGTGTTATCATCTAGGCAGATAGCTGGATTAACATTTGGGGAAAGTTATCACCCATTTTTGATAGGAATCTCAGGGAAATGTCCTGCATCTCATAGTCATTGACGATTGTATGAAGACTTCCTACAGTTCGGAAATCTCTTAGAATGGGATCTTAGAGAAAAGCCTGCCAACTAGAGGATTTGTTAAACCATGGACTTTCAAGTCACCAGAAGGACAATGAAAGAAAAACTTTTAAATAGAGATTGAAGAGAGGAAAATACAGAAAAATAAGAGGTGGTAAGTTATAGTTTTAAAAATTCTTTTAAGGGGAAAACTCTCCAAATGATATTTTCTAGTAGACTTCCAGAAATTATCAGAGAAACATGCTTGGCCTTTGCACCCCACATCAGGCCTCGATGACAGGTAACCAGCAGGCTGCTAATCACTGACCCTTTCCACCTTCTTCTTCTTGCTCCTGCCCTGGCTTCCAGTTGGGTCTGGCCAAGGGAACATACCAGCAAGAGATGAGAGATAGGAGGAAAAAAGAGTGTTTCTTCCTGTCCATCCCTGTTTCATCCAGGTAGTGTGAAGAAATGATCCCCCAAAAATCCCAGGTTATGGTTTGCCCCTTTCAGTATTCTGTCTCCTACCCAGCAGCCCTACTTCTCCTGAGCTCCAGCTCACACTCCAGCAACACTCTTTCCTTTCTTTCTGTCTTCTTCAGGGGAGTGGGAGGCTTACAGTCTGTGGCTTCTCAGAATCTCATGTTGTGCCCTCTGACCCTGCCAACACTTTTTCTTTAAAATCTCTCTCTTTGAACTGATTTCATTCTGCTTCCTCTTGGGAGCTCACAAATACAGTGTATCAGTAGAATATTTTACTACATCTTCAGAACCAATATATTTGATACATTTTATCTTTACTGGGGAACCATTAGTTGTTTAATCATTAGTTGTATCATAGAAAAAAATTCACTATGAATTAAACCCTGATTTATTACCAATTCGGATAATTACATGACATCACCAAAATTATGTACTTCAAACAAATCTATTTACCATAAATTTTAAGAATTAACTACAGATAAATGGAAATTTATGTATGCAGTTTTAAATTAAAGTTAAATGCTAAAGTATTCTTTTTTTTTTTTTTTGGTACTGGGGATCGAACTCGGGTCCTTGCACTTGCACAGCAGGCGGTGAAACCACTAAGCTAAATCCCCAGCCCTGTTAAAGTATTCTTAAAGTAGAAGATGCTAAGTTTCCAAGTAAATTTCATCCTATACTCTTGCAGCACAAAATGTGTCACTATCTTGAGAAATAGCATATTATTTTGTGAATTCATAAGCCTATTTTGAGTATTTAAAATATGAAAACCTTACCAAAATGTGTTCTGTTATTGGGAAAGCATGACAACTCTTGCTAGCCAATGTTTTAAGCTTATAAACTTATCTGTGCATGTTCTAAACAAATAACAATTTCTTATTGTTATTATATAAAATATGTGATGTTTTAGATTTTAAAATACCAGATTGGAAGCAAGTGACAATGAAGTATGTCTCACTGTTTAGATACTTGTAAGCGAATCCTTTTAGTCACTCATTTAATTTAACAATCCTTTTTATACCTATTGCCCGGTATTGTTTGAGGTCCTTAACAAAATAGTACTAGAGGCAACATAAAGTAATTAGAAAGTAATCTTTAACAGATAAGCTACCCATACATAGCAATAAAAGCTAGGGAAAAAAAATCAATGAAAGTATCTATTCAATCATACTGTTTCCTGGTCTAGAAGAACAGGTTAGGTGAATTTCTGTTTTCCTCTGGTTGTTGTGGTAACATACTATATATTGTAACAATTTTAAGTAATTATAGATGCACCAAAATTTATCTATGGCTTTGTCACCATGTTATACAATACCTCATTTAAAATGAAACTGGTGTCTATATTTAATGTACCAGTATCAAGATAGTAGTATATTATTGAGATGAGATTTCTATAGCGTTTTTAGGTAACAACTAGAATTTTGGAATGCCATGCACCCTGACTATCGAACCTTAATTGCTATTGAATCAACTGCCTATATTTTACAGAGGCCAAGATGGGGTAAGTTCCTTTGACACCATGCACACAAGACAGTGGTTCTTGTGTAGTGGCTCTAAAACCAGAATGGAAGGAAGGGCTAAAGTCTCACTCCAGTGCTCGTTAGGTAAGAGCACTCTGATAAGCTGTACAACCTCTACATTTAGTTTCCTCATCAACAAATAACAAGCATCTACCTTAAAGGCTGATTGTAGAGCGAGAATGAGATCATCTGTGCAATTATCCCCCACCTTGGCATGGCTGGTCTCCACCTGAGTGCTGCGCTCCCCCTCAGGTACTCAGGTAGCAGGAATGCCACAGGTAAGCCCCAGGTATGTTCTCTACTGCCCCATGCTTGCTCCAGACTCATCCTCAGGCCCAGTGAGCTCACCTTGCCCAGACAATAATGTCTTTCTTTAATATTGATGAATATGTTCCACAGAAAATTCTTGTCCCCTAATTTAAAAGAAAAAGTATTTGTCTCCTTCAGTAACAGTGCACACACAGTTGGCACAATTTCACAAAAATACCACATACTGAGTTTTTTCTATACTTATTCAACAAATGCGTATTGACTACCTACCATGTGACCAGTTTTATTTGTTGTAGGAAGTAGATATGTGTCAGTGAACAAAGCCAGCAAAACATCCTGCTGTCTGTAAAAGGTATCAGAGAAAAACATTTGATTTTGTAGCAATCATATTATTCTCCTGATAAATTTTATCACTTTCCTGCTAATGTTAAATCTCATTAATCAAGGTGACCACCTAATCCAGGCAGCTACAGAATTATGAGATCCATGAATTTTTTTTCTTGAAACATCCTTTTTAAAATACCTCACAACTCAAGATTTGGCTGTTTTCTATATGACATTTAAATTTTTTTCATTTCCACCTAGGGATTTAATTGGAAAATCAACATTATGTATTTTATGTTGTCATTTCTGTTTTTAAAATTAAGCAACTCCAAGGATTATAAGCCGGGCTGCCTGTAAATTAAAGGTGAAAGTAGTTGTATTGTTACCTTTTGTCATTTGAGAGTGGTTTCTGGGTGTTAGGAGAAGTTTTTAAAATAAATTTTGATGTGGCCTTTAAATATTCCTTTTAAAAAAATATTCCATTTCAACATGTACCCTCAGAGGGAAAACTCTGATATCTGTCTTTCTGGCTGAGCCTTCCTCTCCTCCCTGCATCAGCGAACCCCCATCTTGCCAGTCTGACCTCACAGCATGCTTTGGAGATCTTCCATTTCCCCACGTATAACCGTGTGAACACTTTCTGTATCTCTTTTTTCACAAATGAGTACTCACTTCCCAACCCGCTTGGGGAGTAGGGAAGGGACACTCTGACATTGTGCTTGTGTAAACATAATTGAGAGCTTTCCATGTCTCTGGCATCTTTGTAAATGATTTTTTGTATAATGCTGGGACAGTGGTTCTTTAAATAGAATATTCTCCCATGGAAATCGCCCACAATGCTGAGAGTACACCTTGCCAAAGGAGTCTCGAATATAGGATGCACCCTCACCATTGCCCAGAAGCTGAAGTTAGGGCTTTCTGGATATCAAAACCAAATTTATAGCAGTTCATTAATGAAAGGAATCCTGAAAACAGTGTGCCACCATTACCCATAGAGGAAACAAAGGGCTCAGACGTGGAGCTCTGAAGATGGAGGCATTCACGAGGGCTTGCATTTGTTCTGTAGAAACCCACTTGCTTGTTTTGAACCAGTTTTCTTTACAGCATATGTCTCACTGTGCAGCCAAAAGGGTGCTTATCTGCTAGTCAAAACTCATGTCATTTCCTCGGGATGATGCATGTTAGGACCAAAGGAGAGAGCTGATGAAGAGACAGAGTGTGGTGGTCTAAAGAGATGCCCCTACTGCAAATTTAGTTTTTCTTTTGTTTCCTCGTGATACTGTTGTAAGATGCAGCTACATATTTTTACTAGAGGATAAATGTAGAGACCTAACTCAATGTGGTTGTTCCTACTTATTGTAAATGAATACATGTTTGCTTCTGTCCAGTGAGATGAAAAGTACTTGGCACCCTTCATATCTCCATTGCCCACTGAATTATTTTAACCAAAATACATTTCTCCATGTTTTTGAGACAATTTCCAAGTGATTGTCCTCAAAAAGTATGATATTAAATGTGAAAAAACAATCCAAAATTATTTATGATGTGTTTTTGAAATTATAATATTCCTGTGAACTTTATTTATAGACGACAACTGGGAAAATGTATATTAATACATTGGTTTATTTTTCTCTTTGGTTAGAATTACGATTTCTTTTAACCTTTTTTTATAATTCCGGTATATTCCCACTCCCACACCTCAATAAATGTATTTTAATACCGTTTTCTTGAATGCCTAAAAGGAGAGTTTCTTTTTAGTAATATTAAAATTTACATAATGTCTTTTGGTAACATCAAGCATTTTTTCCCTTTCTTCAGCCTTGCAAACAACATACGAGGATGCTTATAGAAGCACCACTCAGACAGGCCCTTGTTTGCTTTCACACAAATCATTTGTTATTAGAAGTGGAAATCTTTTCTTCCCAACACAAATACATCTCTTTCGAAAGTAATTCTCTTTTGTGAATGATATTTAATGTCTAAGAAACTAGTATACATTTTATTATGTGCATTTCCCTAATCATTTATTTTAGGGGATGGACTCAAGGTTATATGTTTAAGAAAAGCATCAGGTTAATCCCATTAGGAAAACCATCTTATTCATAAACCTTTAACCATTGATAAAATCATCATTAGGAGGCTGCATAGGCATGTGTGGCTGGATAGAATTAATAATGTATTTGACAACTGACAAAACAGAGCAATAGCCTACATTTACAGAATGCTATCTACTGAAAACCAGTAAAGCTTTCTCAGACAAATGTAGTTCACCTCAACATGAGGCTTTAAGATGCTTATTAATAGCATGTGTTTGGATGTCTAAATATTGTATAGCAGAGGTAACCTGACTGGCCCAAGGTCACTTGCTGGCAGAGGTAGCATCATTTTCTGTCTCCCAACTCTTTCCTACCACACTGTCCTTCAGAAGGCACTCTGCTTGCTCACATGACAGTGATGTAGTATTGTAGCTAGTAGTTAGCTCTAATTTAACCTTAAATATGGTGGGGGGTTTTCCTTTAGGCAATGAGATTTAATTCAAAATATAAATCTTTTAATGATTTATTAGTATATGTTTATGATATATTGATTATATTTATCTTAAAAATGATAAACTTCTCCATCTTTTTTCTTCTTTCTCCTCTTTTGTCCCTACATGGTGTTCCATATATGTTGCTGCCAGAACAGATTATTAGCTTTTCTTTTTTTTTTTTTTGGTACTGGGGATCGAACTCGGGTCCTTGCACTTGTGAGGCAGGTGGCAGAGCCATTGAGCTAAATCCCCGGCCCTAGCTTTTCTATACCTTTTAATTGTTTTCACAGATGTTAACATGGCAACAATTACATTTCTGCTTTTAAAAATTGTTACAGGGATGCACAGAAAAAAAGAGGAAAGCAAAGGAATAAACTACAAGCAATTACGTAAGTGATATATTTGTGATCTGACATTTTGGGAACTGAAAGATAATGTGTTACTGATATACATTACTTCTTAACATCTCAGTTTTATATAAGATAAAATTCATATGCCTTCAACTCAGACACAATATAATGATAGAGCATCTATTATTCTCATTTTCATACCACTCAAATTTTTTAACTGTGGGAAGAATGCTTGCTTTGTACTGGGTTAAATGAGATTGCCTGACAATAGATGTGTACAATTTACCAACATGTCCTTTTGGAGAACATATATAAATAACATGCTGAGAATCATGACATTGTGCAAAGTGAACTAATGAGTTTAAATGTATAGACTGTACCTTCTAGTTGGAGATTTAAGAAGATTTGATAATCTAATGAATTTTTTAATGAATCATTTTATTTCCTCATCATTTTAAAGACTTAATATTTCACATATTTTTAAATCCCACTTCATTGAGATATGTAACTGTTTCTTTCCCATCACTTAACAAAAGTCCTTTATTCTGTTATCCTCCCATACACACTTCTGTACCAATGTGTATCAGTGTGTATCACTGTTCTTTTTACGGTGTCAAGGTCATTGCCTTGACAAGTCATATGAGACCACTCAGAAAAGAGCATGATTTTATAAACACCAACATTTTCCTATACATGCTCTGAAACATTATTAATTTCCTTCAGGCAGTGTGTTCAGATTAATGTTTTTGAAGAGTATCATGTGACCATTCTATATTACACAGACAGGGAGTCCCTCAAAGGTCATGTTTTGTAGGAGAAACACCAAGACATCCAAAGTTTAACCTAATCAACTTACTACATTCATTCTAAAACTTAACCATGACTGAGATATGTAAGATTTTTGTTTCAGATATGATTTGTTTCATTTTCCAAAATGCATCCCTATCTGCATTTTATATTGGCCCTTTAGCATGAAAGAATGTGCCTGAAGCCAGGCATGGTGATGTGTGTCTATAATCCTAGCATATTGGGAGGCTGAGGCAGGAAGATCTCAAGTTCAGGCCCAGTTTGGACAATTTAGGAATTTAGGGAGACCCTGTGTCAAATTTTTTAAAAATTTAAAAGGCTGGGGTTGTACACCAGTGCAAAGGCCTGTTCAATCCCTGTTACAAAAAAAAGAATGTGCCTAAGAGGAAACCATACTAAGGATATTTTAACCATCAGTGCCATCAAATCTGTGTCTGTTTGATTATTAGTTTATAATGCTTAATATTGATTTGGCTATCAAATTAACTTTTCTTTTGTTAAAAGACTCTGTAAATTAGAAATGTGCTATGTTATTTAGCAGACCAAAGGTAGTTTGGAGAATGGCAACAAGACTTAAATATGAAAGCTACCTAAAATAATGTCCTATCGCTTCCACTCAATGTTTCTTTGCCAAATAAAGTTCAGTTTACTCTGAATTCTATGCCAATATGCAAAAGTTACAGTGAACCTTGGTTTTAATATACCTCGACAAATGTAGTTCTATAGTCAGAATACCAATTTTAGCATCTTTACAAAATACAGAGGAGACTTTGTCAACCAGAAAAATCTAGAACCTGGCAATTCAAATACCATTCAAAGCAAATATTTAATCTAATAACTAGAATTAAATGTTAGGCCTCAGGGTATCTCAACATCTACTAAGCAAGTGTTAATAATAGGATGAGTCCTCTGTATGCAGAGCAAAGAGAAGTACACCACATTTACATATACAGAATCTGGCTTTGTCTGAAAGGCTCACACTGTTACAGCAAGCAAAGAATTTATTTTCAATGTGCTAAACATCCACACAATATTCTATATTTTATACATTGCCTTTTATAGCTAATAGTACCAAGTACCATGTTTATTTCAGTTAATCTTTGAACTAATCTTATGAATGAGGTACTTTTACCTCGTTTTGCAGATGAGGAAAGGAAGAGTAAATAGATTGTCTCATGGAAATTCATTCGGCAGAGATTTTCCTCATGCAGTCCGACTCAGAGGCTGTTCTTAGCCAGGAGCAGCACCTGATCCCAGGTGTGCCCTGCATGAGATGGCAGGATGGAGAGTAGTATCTGTATTGCACATGGCAAATCTGAGGTCCCAGGACTTCAGGTAAGCTAACTGAAAGTGAAAAGTGATCACAGCAGCACTGAGACTGTCTGTTGTCTTGACCCTCTACTTGGAATGCTCCTCTTTCCTATATGACTGCCACACTCTGCTTTGTTCTGACCCAGAGGAGCTGTGCTTGATGCATTTCTGTTTCTGGTTTGGAATGAAGCACTATATGAGTCACTTTTGTGATCTGTGTCCCCTCTAAACTGTGCCTCTGTGGCAGGATGGCATGTGATACTCTATATGGCATCTCTTCGTCCCCACCCCCATCCTCAGAACTATACCAGGTAGAGCTGGCCAGATGATGTTTGGGTCACTACTAGTTTCCCCTTTCTCTGCCTTTTGTCTAACAGAAACATTCCTGCCTTCCCCCTTTCTTCATTAGTACCCTTGTGTTCTAAAGCACCCCCCTACTGTAAAAATAGAAAGGAGCTGTGAGTCATTTACACTTTAGCTTGAATGTGCTTCATGACTTTTCCCAAAGCTATTTGTGCTTAACTCCTTTTCTCTGACTGCAGAATGAAGGTCTCTTGGCTGTACTGGCTCCTTAGCCAATGAGAATGAGCTAAGAATTTTTGGCCTAAATATCAGGACCCTGGAGACCTATTGCCTGGAGATGCTTGGACCCTCAGCCAAGCATCTGTCTCTTCCCAACTCTCTGCCTGAATCAGGTGTACTCTTGTCCTTCAACCCCTTCCAGCTTGTTGGGGATCCAGAGAACATTCTCCATCCTTCGGAAATAACCTGTTCTTTTATTTTCCTGTGGCCCACAACATGGTGACTGAGTGGCTCTCAGAAGCAGCCACAGGCTTAAAGTGCAGAGTCTGGATGTCACCAACACATGCCCATGTTTACATGCATGTAGGACCTCAAGGGCCTTTGAGGTGGAAGCTTCTAGAATGCCTGCGAAGTCATTAGGCCCATCATGGAGTGGGATCGTACTTTATCCCTGCCCCTTGCCTTGGAGACAAGGATTCAAGTGCAAGTGTTTAGGAGATGAGTCTATGAAATCCTGGTAAGAGATAAGCAAGGTAAAGAAATGAAGTCTGTCACAGGATGTGTCAGTAAGTCATTAACCATGGTGGGCCGCCCATCAGGGCACTCTGATAGTCAGTGTGGAATAGAAGCCTCAGTATTACTACCCCTAGGTGAGGATTTTTACCCTCAAGCTCCCTTCCGTCAATGGTGGGAGTTCTTAATGTTCCCTCAATTCCAGTGAGTTTCTTTGGGTCATAGAGGCTTTCTTTAGTTTCAGAAATCTCCTTCAGGCAGAGATCAGACACCAGAGTGGGCATTGCTGGAACCCCTGTAAGTGGTAAGGGTGTAAGGCTGTGGGCAGAGTTCCCCCATGCTCCCTGCTGGGGTATGTTAGGTGGTAGAGAGAACGCAGAAGGCCTGACTTGCTATGACTGTCTTCACTGAGAAGTTTTGTATCAACACATAACAGAGGATTAAAGTATTCACATAATCAGAGCAGTGCAGCATAGATGTGGAGAACTAACACCAAGTAGGAAGAAAGTATGCCAAAGTAGTTGATTTGGCTAAACAAGTACGGATTCTTACATTCATTGGTGTGAACTGTGTATTATTAATGTCTGATTACAGTGCTGTATAATAATAATTATGCATGTCATTAAATATGTGTCAGACTAACTGTCATAAAATTTATGACAACATTAAGTTTTATTCACATGCCCAGCCTTCATAATTTATTGCTTATGTAGCACAGTTCTGACTTCAAAAAAATCTCCAAGACAGTGTTGGTTGATGGCTAGATTGCTTATCCATGAGTGCAGTTTCTCCCCTCTTTTGAAATGGTTATGTCACATGGCAGTGGTCACCAATGCTGTTGCCAGTGAGACCACCAGCACAACAATGAAATTTTACTTGCCCAATCATTGTGGCTGAGAAATTATTCTCTTCTCTTTGAAAGTTCTCTTCCTATGGGTCATTGAGTGATTCAACTGACTTGTGTTTGACTCTAGCTATGTATCATGTGTTGTGGTACAGATCCAGGTGTAAAAGGAATCCAGTTGATATGAACTTAGATATGGATCTGGACCTGATTCTGCACTAAAAGAAGTCATGGTCTAGTAAAGAATCATACTGTTCTGTAAATACTTGTTCAAGAAGGAGGGAAAAGTGAATAAAGGACTATATATCTTCTGTTTCCCAAGGTGTAGAGTAACAAAGTCATTCCTGTGTTTGGTTTCCAGAAAACAAGTATAAAGCTACTTGTCATCATTTTATGCTTTCAGAAATGAGTAGCATTGTAGTATAGTACTTACTGCATGGCCTTAGCTTTGTGTGCAAGCTGAGAATTTGATAAGTGAAAGTCATTCACTGGTAAAATGTGTTTCCTTTTGCCAAGTGCACAGTGATATTGCCTTTTGAGAATCCAAGTCTAAAGATGTCGTCACACTCAAGGTCCAGACACTTCTTTTAAAAAACCAACTAGAATAATTTTACTCTTTACAGCAAAAGCAAGTACTATCCAGAATGAGGCAGAGCTAGACATATTCTTGAAGTTTTAAAGTTTACACAAAAATGATGTATTGGAAAGTCATGGCTTGCCATTGTCAGACCTCAGAATTGAACTTGGTGGGAGAAGTCAGAATTAGGATGGGATGGAAAAATTCAACAGCAGACAGACTAGGGAGAGGACTAGTGTTTCTCATGGGTCCAGGGACCTCCCCAAGATTCTAGTGTGGGTCTGGCAGTAGGCTGATAAGATCAACCACATATATTCATGCCCTAACATAGAGACAAGGTTGGTATGAAAAGAATTCAAAGAACCTACTTTTACTCCTTCTAAAGAATTATATGTTCCTAACGACCAACCTAGGGATGTTCCAGATGAACATGTAATTTAAGGCTGTGGTATATGCAAAGGAAACAAAGCAGCCTCATGAATAGCAGGAAATCAGTTCATAGCAGTCAGCTTTGAAACAACCTCATTCTTGCTTCTAAATGAAGCAGCAATTAGAGGCAAGATACCAGCTTAGACAAATGCATCTGTTAGTACATCCCTACGATAAGAAGAAGCATGGAGAATGCCTAAATTCAATGCCATTTTTCTCCCTCCATCCAAAACCTGTACTACTTGCTATTTTTTCTATATTTGTTAGAAATACTCCCCCCGACACACACACACACACACACACACACACACACACGCTCCTTCAGGCTGGAACTTCTGGACATCTTGAACTTCTTCAAGCTCTTTACACACATCCGTGCAGCAACCCATCCTTTGCATCTCCTTAAACATTTCTCAGATCTCTGTCTTCCCTTTCAGCCCTTTGGGATCTGCAGCAGACACAGCCCTTCATGAGGCTCATGTGTTTCTCATTTCTGTTCTTCCTCTTCAGTCCATCTTCTGAGCCATTGATGGCTCCACCTACTCCTTGCCTGAACACTTTACAGTTGGGCTCAACTCACTTTCCTAGCCTCTCCTCCAGGGACCTTCTGAGCTTGCCTTCATTGACATGTCATAGACAATTTCATACCCCCATTATTCTTACATGCTCTTCACTCTGCCCACCTCACTACCTCACTACTTCCCTGAAATGTTCTAAAACCCTCCAACAAAATTGATCCCTCTGGGCTTGGAATTTAGCTCAGTAGCACTGTGCCTGCCTCTCTAGTGCAAGGTCCTGAGTTCGATCCCTGGTATCAAAAAAATTTTTTTTGATCCCTTCTGTATCTGTATTCCAAAACCAAGTTTCCATTGAGGTGTTTATCGTATTGATTATAGTCATTCATTTGCCATCTTAATTAGCTTTGTAACATGTAGCACAGCAATTTAAACAGTGTAGATACTCAAACATGATTTTTTTAAGCTTATGATAAGTGAGTGTTTTGGGATGCCAGGCTCTTGGAGTCAAAGAAATTTGGCTTGTTCTTAGAGTCAAGGTATGTAGCAACCTTGGCTCATTTGAGCAGGAAATAAAAGAATTCAAGGCTGTTGAACTGTTCTGGGAGGTCAGAGATAGGAGCAATATAGAAAATCTCTGCAGAAAACTAACTCTGCTCTGTACTTGGTGCAGACTCTACCAGGTACAGCATTCACACCCCAAGCCTGACACTAGACTCTGCTGCTCCCTCTGGAAATTGATGTGGGCTTCAGTGCTGCTGCTGCCACAGCCAAAATTGAGTCCCTGCAGTCTTGGCTTGTCCTGTGTCATGCCAAGAGTCAACAGCATCTGAATGGTTGCACCTAGATCACGTCTGAGCCCTAGCTGCAAGGGAGGCTGGGAAAGTGAGCATCTGACGCCTATGGAATTGTTGGTCTCTGCCTCCTGTCAGTACTCAGGAGGTAGAGAAATCCACAGCCAAGAGATCACTTTAGATGCTGGGTGATGTCAAGGGTAACAGAAGGTGCAAAAAGGATGACAAGTCCCCACTAGAACTTTCTTTCAATACTCCTAAGCCCTAATTAAGAGCTCCACTCAACATGTATCTAGGACATGGCTGGAAAAAGCCTTGTGCTCAACTTTGAGAAGAATTAAATTAAAGGAATGATTACTAAGGGTGGGCAAGGTCTAGAGAACCACAAGAGACAGTGCAGCACTCCAGAACTGGCAACAGTAGGGAGCTTTCAACATCCTGGGCCTGAAGAGGCAAGGGGAGGAAGCATTTCCCAGAGCCAGAGGCAGGACTGCCTAACTGTGTGGAGAGAATCATTTAAAATAAACGACCCAGCCCTGGGCACCTCCTCACCAAGAGGACAAGAGGAGCAAATGCCACTCCTTCCTTTCCTGTGGTTCCCTGTTGAAGCTCCCCACCAGCCTGGCCAGAGACCAGAGGGCCAGGGAGCACATGCAGGTATGAGCTGCAGAAGAAGACTGGAGAGCAAATGTGGAGAAATAAACAGAAGAGGTTCTGCACTTACGGCTTCATCGATATGTCACTGGCATTTTTTCTTTTTTAAATTCAGTATCTCCTTTGGGGATGTCCCTTTACATTTTCAGTAGCTCAGTCCACAAGATCAATGGACTTAAAATGTTCTTCTCATCCTGAATTTAACGAGATGCTATTTCCCCCTTGTTTGCTATTTAGAATGTTCTATTGTATGGTTCAACAATCTGCACCATTAAAGGTTAGCAAATCCCAACCAGGACATTTTTTTTCCCTTTCTGGGCTTGGGGAAAAAGGAGAAGAGGTGTGACCTGCACAGACAGCATCAAAAATCTCCTTTTCTGAATCTTCCTGCAGAAATCCTCTCTATGTATTGTCTCAGCACAGGAGATTTCCTGTTGTTCATCCCTGCCTCCTCCTCATTAATATCCAGCCTTTTAAATAAAGCATGTACAAGAATAGTCAATAAAATAAACCCCACATGATTACCAACAGTTGCAGGCCCATGAGTTCCCCAAGGATTCACCCACTGTAACCCCTCATCCTTTGAAAGTACATGATAACTTGTGTTAGAGTAATCAGTTATTGGGCCAGGGATTTAGCTCAGTGGTTCCAGTGCCTGCCTCCCAAGCACAAGCTCCTGAGTTTGATCCCTGGTACCAAAAAAAAAAAGTCACCAGTTATTTAGTTTGGGAAAGAATACCAAGGGGAAACCTTCATCATCATCTTCAAGTATATGATGTGTTCCTTCCCACAGTATGGAAAGCAAGTGTTTTCCCTGTCCTCAATCAAGGGAGTGAGTACAGCACGAGGAATAAAATAGAAATAAAATAATAAAATGGTTGCACTTTGAAACTACAATGTTAAGTGAAATAAATCAGACACACAAACTTGAATATTGCATAGTTTCTTTTATGTGAGAAATTCAAAATTTAAATAAAGAACAAAATAACAGATAATAGGAAGATAGATCATTCTCAAATGGGAAGGGGATTAAGAGAGAAGGAGAAGGAGGGGAGGATGCTGAAAAAATTAAGATGTTTTATGTATGTGTACCAACTCCACACAAAAATGTAAACATTATGTATTACAAACATACTAATAAAAACTGATGAAGAAAACAAGCCTACAGCTGGGCAAAATCATTAACCACAAAGCCTATTTTGCAATAAAATGTTGAATATTTGCCAAAAAATAACATTAATAAAAGTCTTACTTTAAAATGCAAATGAAACCAAATGTGGCAGCACACACCTGTAGTCCCAGCCCTCTGAGCAACTGCAGCAGGAGGATCACAAGTTTGAGTCCTGCCTGGGCAACTTAACAAGAGCCTGTCTCAAAACACAAAATAAAAAAAGCTGAAGATGTAGAATAGTGCAAAGGCCCTAGGTTCAAACCCTAGTACTACCACTAAAAAAAATTGCAAATGACAGAGAAATACACACAGCAAAGTTGACTTCTATGCTCTGGAAGTTTGAGCTAATTATTTCTAAAATTATTCAGGTGCTTTCACATTTACTACCTAAATTTTCTTTTGTTGTTGCGATTTTTGCCATGGCATTCACTAAAATTTGTTTCTTTAAATATTTTTTCTTAGGCTTCATGTTGCATATAAATGTAAATTTTTGTCATGTAGATTGTCTCGTTTAACTTCCCTCAAATATCCAGCTGGCAGCTGAATACCTCAATTTGGATTTCCCACCAACATGTGCCACACTTACATGTGCAGTTCAGAACCAGCATGTGCAATGCCGTGGTACCTTGGTTCACAAACTTAATGTGTTTTATGATTTGGGGGAAGATGGCTGCGTTTGTGTTTGTGTGGGGAACATGACCATGGTTGTGTTACCCAATGTGGAGTTTGTGAACAGAAGCAAAGTCTTATGTTACCACTTGTACAATTCCTCTATGGTTGGCTATCACCCTTGGGTTACTGAAAAGCATGGCATGGCATTCAAATCTTTGTCCCTCATTGTTCGTCTTGCTCCCCAGCCCATATCTCATTGCTTCATGGACTCTGATCACTCTGAGCCACTTGATATTCCATACCACTCATGGGGAGCCCACACATAGACACCAACATGCTTTTGCACACACTTTTCCCTCAGCCTGAGTTGTTCTCCATCCCATCTGGCCTGGAGACCTTCTCTTCACCCTTCTAGTCCAAACACAGTCACTCATTGTGTACTTGCATTGTTTCTTGTGCAAATAATAGGGCAGAACATCTGGCCAAAGGCTCCTGATGGTCCAGCTGAGAAGTAGTGCAGAAGACTAGATGATGGCCAGGGAAATGGAGTGGGCAGAGTCTAGGGTGGTGATGGCAAACCTTTTAGAGCTTTCAATGATAACAAACAGCTGGCTGCAGCATGCATGTCATAGATTCTCCTCCACTAGTCTAGGGCATACTCTTTGTGTAGAGTTTTCTAGACCTTCTGATGGGTTGGCTGTGGGGACAAGAGGAGAGAAGAAATCCAAATCAGAGCAGGCAGCTCCATCAGCAGGAACAAATTACAGGGAAAACTACACCCTGGGACCCAACTTCAGTAATTATCACCTCTGTGTCAGTCTTGTTCCTTTACACCCCAACCTCCTTCCTCCTGCTGCCCAGCCCCACCCACACAATGGCTTATTTTGAAGCAAGTGCCAGACATTTTATAATTTCACCTGTAAATATTATGTCTGTATTTCTAAAATAAAAGAACTCTTTTTAAAAAAACATAATACCATTATCATTTCTAAAAAAAATTACTGAAGAATGTAAACAAACAAAACTAATACTAGTACTTTATATCATTGGGTATACGGGTATACAGTACATTTAGCAATTACGTTTTCCCAATGTGTTATTTGTTGTTGGTTGTTTGTTTGAATTGGAATCTAAATTGGCCTATAGACAGTATTGATTTGTTGCTGTGTTTCCTAACTCCCTTTTAATCTCTTCCCCCCTTACCTTTGTCTCTTCCAGTTTGGTTGTTGTCATTAGTAATGTTGCTGTCACTGAAGAAACTGGATGTTCGTTCTGTACAATGTTAGAATTTCCTGATTGCATCACTGTGGTGTTGTTTAACTTGTTCTTGTGTCTCCTCTATTTCCTGAGAATTTATTTTATCAGAAACGGGAGTTTTGTTGCTGTTGTTGCCTTGGGGAAGGTCAGCATGACCATTTCATAGATGGTGTTTTATATGTTCATCAAGAAGCTTATCATGTCTTATTATCTATTTTTGTGATGTTAGCAACCATCAATGTTTATTACCTATATCTATTCATTTATTAGACCTGTCAAAGTGGCAGTATTCTGATTGTATCTTTTTTTTCTTCATTTTCTGAGTGAGATGTTCTGGAAAGAGGACAGTTCATACAGAAAAAATAGTAGAAGCTATGTGTTTTATATTCCCCTTCATATACCAATTTTCTAAATAATGAGTTGTTCCCAGGGGCCAGGGATGTAGCTCAGTGGCATTGTGCTTGCCTCGAAAGCCCAAGGTCCTGAGTTTGATCCCTGGTACTGGAAAAAAAAAAGAGTTATTCCCTGTCATCTTCCAAAGGTCATGAATGAATGAATGAATTTACTTTTATTTTATCATTAATATTATTAAGGGATTACTTGCTAAATATGTTTATATGTAGATTGCAGTTATATTTATTGATATCTAAATTATTCTGTCTTTGGTCAATGGAAGCCAAATCAAGTCAGCTCTAAACTACTTCTGATATGACCCTAATTTCTTTTACAAGCTTCCTCCTTTCTGGTATGTTTCAAGTTCATCTTGTGTATTTCCTGCTGCAGACCTGGAATCAGCCATTTCTCTTAGAATTTCCAGGTTCCTTTCAATGGGAAATATTGTTTAGAGACCACAATCTGGGCAGTAAGTACACTCATCGCTTCTCAGCTAGTTACTATTTACAGTGGGCAAAGACAGAATATGTGTGTGTGTGATTTTTTAAAGAAATTACATGTCCAATTCAAATTCAGGATAACCATGGATATCCATAAAGTGTCTTCTTTCTCCTGTGACGAAAATCTCAATTCTAAACAATCCCAATGTAATTTCCAGTTTTCTCTATTTCATACTACACAAAATCAACTTCAAAATAATTAGACAAAAACTAAATTAACAATAAACTAACTATAACAGTTCAGTTTTTTTTCTTTGTCTTTCAGGTACATCCCACTGCGGATTATTGTCAAATTAATGTATTATAGGATCACTGAGAATAGTTCCTCTGTGTGTGGCTACACCACCAACTGGTTACATAGTTAATTTCACTTACTTTGCTTTACATTTTTAATAGTTCCTTCTTATAACTATGAAAATATTTACCTGGTTGCAAAGTCAAATAAATCTACAAACAAGGTACATTAAAAGCCTCATTCTCTTTCTCTACAATATTAAAACATGATTTATCCTCTTTCTTTTTATATGAGAAAATATCTCTACATGCTTGTATTCCTCTCCTCTTAGAGAAATGACAGCATACTATAAACACTTCCTCCTCCTGTTTTCACTTAATAGTACTTCTTAGTGGTAAATACCAGTCTTTGATTTGGGCTCTGGTTCACGGTACTTAAATTTTCAGCAGATAGCTGCAGGTTCTCACTCCTCTCTCACTCACGTGCCACATGCGAACTGTCATGGTTTAACTTCAGAATCCAAGGCCTGACCCCTCTCACCACTCTCCTCTACCCTGCCAGAGCTGTCAGCTCTTACTGGAACCATTGCAGTAGCTCCTCATCACTGCTCTCCTTCATCTACCCTCAGTGCCCTCAGGTCTGTTCTCAGCGAGTCAAAAGAGCCAAAGTCTTACTCACCTTTGGGAGCTCGCACCTCATCCTTTTCTCTCCCCACTCCACTCTGGCCACACTTGCAATGGCTAGTGGGCTCATCCTCCTTGTATCTGCAATGCTCACTCTCTCGCCCCCTTCAAATTGTTCTTCAAAGTAGCACCTTCACGGTGAACTTTACTCTTCCCCCTTCTAAAATTGCAGCCTGACCCATCCCCACCTCAGCTTTCCTTTGGCCTCCTCTATTTTCCCATACTACTTATTACCTTCTGTCATGCTGAAGAATGGTTATTGTCCATTCATTTATTGTTCTCCACTGGAATGTACATTCTACAGGGTATGGATCTTTATCTGTTTTGCTCACTAATAGATCCCCACTGCCTAGAAAAGTGCCTGGCACATAATAGGCACTTAGTAAATATTGTTGAATGAATGAATAAAAACTTTCTTAACTTCAACTGATAAAGTTACCAAACTGTGGCCTAGTGTTACAGGAATATTCAGAACCACAATGACCATCTGACCCATAGGAGAACAAGGACCCTTTTCCAGTGACCAGAACATTACTTCTTCCTCTGCCATATCCTGAGGCTCTGCATATGAGAGTTGATGAGGGTCATGTGATACTTTTCTACTATCACACAGCTGAAAGATAATAACAACTTACTATTTATATGGTTTATTATGTTAATGTAAGTTTTACATATACTAATTAAGTCATTTGATCAATAAAACAATCCAGCAAAGACCGTTTTATGATTTTGCTCATTTTAGAAATGAAGCCACTGAAGCACAAATAGATTTTTTTTTAATTGCTTATAACTAATAATTTATTTATGGTAGAATTAGGACCAGAATCTCCAGGGAGTTTGGCTCTAGAACTCATGCTTTCAATTAGTACTATCCAACAGGTTTTGGGCAATGATAGCAATGTTCCCTATCTGTACTGTTCAGTATGGTGGCGCTAAAGCAGTGATGGTGAACCTTTTAGAGACCAAGAGCCCAAACTGCAACCCAAAGTCCATTTATTTTTTGTAAAGTGCCAACACTGCAATTAAACATGAATACTGAGAGTTTAGTTTAGAAAAAAAACACCTCATACCCTTGGCTTGC